TGCTTACTTGGAAAAATGACAAAGTCACCCTTCACAGGTTCTTGTGAGAGGGGTGAAGGTTTGTTGGATCTTATACACACGGATGTGTGTGGGCCCTTCAAACATGCCACAAGGGATGCTAATCGTTATTATTTGACTTTTACTGATGATTACAGTAGATATGGATATGTCTACTTAATCAAGCATAAGTCAGAGACTTTTGAGAGGTTTAAAGAGTTTAAACAGGAAGTCGAGAATCAATTGGGCAGGAACATTAAGATGCTTCGATCCGATCGAGGTGGTGAGTATCTTAGTTCAGAGTTCCTCGACTATCTTAGGGAATGTGGGATTGTCTCACAATTGACACCTCCCAGGACACCGCAGTTGAATGGTGTAGCTGAGAGGCGTAATCGAACCTTGTTGGATATGGTTCGTTCCATGATGAGTCGAGCTTCGCTACCAATCTCATTTTGGGGGTATGCCTTAGAGACTGCCGCCCATATCCTTAATCTAGTTCCCACAAAGAAAGTTGCCAAAACTCCTCATGAGATGTGGACTGGTAAAGTACCCAAACTAGACCACATTAAGATTTGGGGTTGCGAGGCTTTCGTGAGACGCGAGACTCATGATAAGCTCGAACCTCGAAGTGAGAGGTGTATTTTCATCGGCTACCCACAGAAATCCTTTGGTTACCTCTTCTACAGACCTAGTGAGAATGTGGTCTTTGTAGCTAGGAGGGCTTTCTTTCGAGAGAGAGAGAGTTCATAAGCCAAGGAGACAGTGGGAGGCAAGTTGACCTTGAAGAAATTCAAGAGTCAAGTGGTGAAGGAACTTCAAACCCTAGCACTCAACTTGAGGAGGAAACTTCTGTTGAGCCAATTGACAAGTCTGTACCTCTGAGGCGTTCCACAAGGGTTAGGAATGCACCTGAGCATTACTATGGATTCCATATTACTGCGGAAGGTGATACACTTATCAGTGATGAGACACTGATAGGTCTGGATGAACCTAACAGTTACGCGGAAGCCATGGCAGGCCCTGAGTCAGCCAAGTGGAAAGAGGCAATGGACAGCGAGATACAGTCCATGTATGACAATCAAGTTTGGAACTTGGTTGAGAATGTACCAGGTCGTAAGACTGTAGGGTGCAAATGGATCTTCAAGAAGAAGACCGACATGGATGGTAATGTACACACTTATAAGGCACGACTGGTTGCAAAGGGTTTCTCACAAACTCCGGGAGTTGATTATGATGAGACCTTTTCTCCAGTGGCCAAGATTAAGTCTATTAGGGTTCTGTTAGCCATAGCCGCATTTCATGACTATGAAATATGGCAAATGGATGTCAAAACCGCTTTCCTTAATGGAAAGTTGGCTGAGGATGTTTACATGAGTCAGCCAGAGGGTTTTGTCAACACAGAGTACCCTAATAGAGTGTGTAAGCTTGAGAAATCCATTTATGGGTTAAAGCAAGCACCTCGCAGATGGAATCTTTGCTTTGATGAGAAAGTCAAGGAATTTGGCTTTTCTAGGAGTGAAGATGAATCTTGTGTATATGTCAAGGCTAGTGGGAGTATAGTTAGCTTTTTGGTATTGTATGTGGATGACATACTACTCATAGGAAATGACATCCCAACTCTGCAGGAAGTTAAGTCCTGGCTTGGGAAGTGTTTCTCTATGAAGGACCTAGGAGAAGCTGCCTATATTCTAGGGATAAGGATCTTGAGAGACCGGAGTAAAAGACTAATTGGACTTAGTCAGAGTACTTACTTGGATAAGGTGTTGAAGAGATTCGGCATGCAGGACTCCAAGAAAGGAGAGTTACCCATCCAGAGTAACGCCAGATTGAGTAAGACACAAAGCCCTAGTACTGAGGCTGAGATAGCAGAAATGAGTCGAATACCTTATGCTTCGGCTGTAGGATCGATCATGTATGCTATGACGTGTACTCGACCTGATGTAGCCTTTGCTTTGAGCATGGTTAGCAGGTATCAGGGGAACCCTGGCAAGGCACACTGGGTCCTTACCCTCGGTGGGAGTGAAGACTTGAGAGTTGTAGGGTATAGTGATGCTAGCTTTCAGACTGATAGGGATTATTTCCGCTCTCAGTCAGGCTGGGTCTTTACCTTAAATGGAGGAGCAATTTCTTGGAAGAGTTCCAAGCAAGAGACAGTGGCTGATTCAACTTGCGAATCAGAGTATATAGCAGCTAGCGAGGCAGCAAAGGAGGCGATATGGCTGAAGAACTTCATTGGAGACCTTGGAGTTGTACCAGCTATTAAAGAGCCAATGGAAATTTTCTGTGATAGTGAAAGTGCAGTTGCCTTAGCCAAGGAACCAAGGGATCACGGGAGATCCAGACACATCGACAGAAAATACCATTTCATCAGACATCGAATAGAAGAATGACTCCTCGTGGCAAAGAGGGTATCATCGGATGAGAATCCAGCAGATCCCCTCACGAAGGGACTGACTCGGGTTAAGCATCTCCAGCATGCTCGGAGCATAGGGCTGAAGGATGATATTAGATTTAGTAGTTAGATAACCTTGAAATTTGTAAAGTGTAATTGACATTAGATGATGAATAAAAGGTGTTTTATTTATGAGTAAAGTGTTGCTATCTCTTGTCGATCGTTTACTATATTTCTTTTGCATGTTTTGACTTCCAGAATAATTATGTTTGGTATATCATATTATTCGAACCTCCACAGTCGGTCATATGTCGGAAGTAGGTATGAATCAAGACTGTCATGATTGGTTGCAGAGGTCTAAGTTGTTGGACATGGCTACAACACTCATGAGTGCTCATAAGTTCTGAGCATTGGACTCAACCCACGCTCACTGGAATCACTTCATGGAATTTATCTCGAGTGATCGTGAGACGGTAATATCATATAAGTCTTCAAACCTAGAGATATGATTTGTTACTTATGAGTTGGTTATGCATTGATTGTACGTTAACGCATTGGTAACTCGATGTTATAAAACGTGCTTTTGTGTATAATTCAATGAGTGGTAGAACAAACATATGAGTCGAAGTTTATCTGTTCCTTCTTGGATTAGAAGCTGATATCTGGGCCCCTCGATGATTTTGTTTTGACCTATGTACCGGGCCCGGTCAGAACTAAGTTGATGTGTTCAATTAAGTTCTTTGTCAAACAAATCGGAAATCGGGAAACAAACTGCTGGACAATAAGTAAGACATTGTTCCATGTATTTGTCCGGCTGATATCTAGAACAGAGGATTATATGATCACTTATCTTAAATGGCGTATCATCATCTTCTCAGTTCCGAGAGACCTTGAAAGAGCTACGATTGCCGATCGGTTCCTGAAGTATTGCAGTTATAGTTATTAGACTTATCCAAGTGGGAGACTGTTGGATAAGGTGTCTAAGTCCATAACTATTTCTGGTATGTACTTGACCCGACCCGGCATGGTCCATTTGGGTTGCATGGCACCATGCAATTGGATAAACTAAAATGAGAGAAATAACACTTATGGTTTATTAATATATTATAAGTTCTAATATATTAATAATATTATTTAATTAGTTTGATCAAGAATTAATTTAGAATTAATTAAGTGATCAAAAGATAACTAATTAAATATATGGGTAGATTATGTAAATCTTCCATATCTTATATAGTGGGCTAAGAGGCTCCATGGATTATCAAGTTGGGTTCCACCCATAGGATGCTCCATGGGAGTTACAAACCCATGGGTCATGGAAATGAAGAGTCATGACACATTAGGGTTTACATGGTGTAACCCTAGATGTGTCAACACTATATAAGAAACCCATTCTCCACCAAAATCGGCAACACATAAGAAACAAGAGGGCTAGGCCGATTTTAGAAGTGTGTATTCTCTCTAAAGTCATTCCAAAAGCATTTGGTGTTGTGTGAAGCATTTGAGGCATCACACTTGGGGTGCTAGGCTCACAAGGTTTCAAGGATCATAATCAACAACAAGGTAAGTTATTCTATCTTTCATGCAAGTTAAAATTTGTTCCCCATGTATGCTAGATAGGAATATAACCTTGGAATTCAACTTTGCATGATAATTAGACAAACATAGATCCAAGGTTATTAGGGTTGCATGTACACTTAGGAAGTGTTAGGATGCTCAAAACCCATCACTTACAACATAACCTAAGTGGAGGACTATCCTTATATGAACCATAATTTCCTGGAGGGAAAGCGTGGCCTTTGTGTATAGATCTATACGGGACTGACTACCCTGCACCTGGCTGCTAGCTAGAGACGGACCAGCAGGTCTACGGGTGATAAATGTCATAAAGGATTTCGGCGTCCGTTTCACGTCGTGTCAAGTTTAAGTATGGTCATAAAACTCGCCAATTGTACGACTCTTTTACGGAATAATATACCTTTCATAACTAATTGCTTTAATAACATAAGTATGCTACTTATGCCTTACGATTTCGAAACCATTAAAGCAACTAACGCCCACTACTAGAAAAACAGCCTTTTACGACGCGCAATGCATGTCGTAAAACGCTCAGACGACGCGCAAATGCATGTCAAGAAAGACCCTGTCATAAGGAGAGACGACACGCTTTTGCGCGTCGTCTATAGACGACGCGCATTTACGACGCACATTTACGACGCACATTTACGACACGCGATTTACAACGCACATTTACGACACGCAATGCGTATCAAGGAAGGCCCTATCATAAAGGAAGACGACACGCATTTGCGTGTTGTAACCTTACGACGCGCATTTACGACTCGCATTGCGTATCATTAAAGCCCCCTGTCAAGAATGGCCATGTCATAAATGAAGATGACACACATTTTTGCGTATCGTAATTTTATATGTTTAAAAAAATATTATTTATAGATTTACTATTTTTCAAATTAAATTTGCATAATGTCTCATAATAAATAAAATATCATATATAAAAATACAATCCATTGCATAAAATTTAATGTCATACAAATATGGTTCCATGGAAAGATAAAACAAATCAATAAAAGTTGTAACGGAAATTTACAAACTAATTAGATACAAGAAATATGAAAAACTTGAAATCCCTAAGATTAATAGTTCTAACAGAAGCTTCATGTGAGATACATACAGTTGGACCAGTAAGCAAAAGGATGTTCCCGAATCCACAATAGCAGCACAAGAACACGTACACGATATCTTCTACAAGAAGGTGCCAGTCCAAAACTACTGTTGAAGGTTTCCATGATAGCTGTTAAGATTTAAGCATAACAAGAAACCAATCAGTGACTATAATAAGCTAGAAAACAAGCAACTAATAAACAAAATAAGCAACTAATTAAGTCAAACTATGACTATGCATACAAATTGGCAGCAAACAAGTAAATAAATGAAGAAAGTTACCTTCCATTGAAATGGATTAACAAGTTCAACATATTTCCCATGGCCTAAAGCAGGTAAGTCAACACGAGAAGGAATGTAGTCAACACGAACAACAACATGCCACTCTTTTGTAACAATGTAAGCATCAAGTGTAAAAGTTAATACAAACAACACCAAGTCTGAACCAATATCAGAGAAAATGAAGTAATCAGAATGTGCACATGTACACATGGCAGTTTAGCAAGGATAAAATTGGAATAGACAAACTTACCTATCTGTAATGAAGCTAAGCTTCCACTCTCCCCTAAAGTACTCAAAAGATGCACAATAATTGAAAGCCTTCTATGTTCAGTAACATCAGGTAATATATTTGATCAAATACTTTCTTGGAGTGACTATCCCACTGCAGAAAACAACTTGTATTAAAAAAACGACACATTTACAAATTTATAAATACAATTTATCATAAAGATTAATATATTATTACATGTTGTTACTTTCTTTTTCTTTTTCCCATGTGGGGTACCAGTTGATGGACTTGATTTATCCAAAACATAATCAAGCATGAGTCTCCTCAGTGATGCACCATGAATTTGGAAATGTGCTCAACTACAAAGATTAAAATATACTTTTTTTTAATTCATAAAAGAAATATTAAAAAAAAAATTAGGGTTGTGGATGCTTACATTGCTGAGAAGTTTTGCTCCATACCATGCAGAATCTGCACCATAAGGGGAAGTGATAACACGAATTCCATTGGATATGGAGGGAGGTAGAAGATCATGTACTTCCTTTTCTAATCTTTCTATAATTAATTAAAACATGAAGCATTTATAAATTAATATTATATTAAAAATTAAAAACATTTATATTTATAAATTAATTTATACCTGGTAACCCTGGTAAACATTACCATGCAGTGCCTCCAGCCAACACAACTGTCCTGAACCAAGTATGATCGGTTCTCATTTTGGCAGCATGGCAACGCTCAATGCAATCTGCAACTGCCTGATGTAGACCCATTGTATTTCTGAGACCAAAAAGGGTAAAATTGGAAATTATAAAAAAATAATTTAAGGGCATAAGTTTATAGATATTAAAGTGGATAAAAGATTACATTCCTTTGTTGAATCCGTCATTGTAAACACTAACTTAATGCTTGTAACATGATTCTTGTGTATTAGTGATTATGCTAAGAGGATGAAAGACTAACATACTTGTCTCGCTGTTCCAAGAAATCCGGGCATCAAAAAGTCAAAAAAAGACCACAACTCCAACACATTATTCTGCATAATAGTTCCAAAAAATATGTCTCAAATGCTAAACATCTATACGAATCACATTGTAGTTTTGAAACTGTGAAGATATAATAAAGGCATCAATGAATTTTTCAATCTCATATACCCAGTGCCCCATATCATCACATAAATTCCATGAAGGTTAAACCTCTTTAAAAAGGCTAACCAGTTTATACCCTCTTGCTGATACCTTCTCAGGGTGACTTTCAACTACTTCTAGACAACAGGCATTCACTCAATCCAGGAGCAGGAGAGACACCACGTGCAAGGGGTAAAAGAGGGACAAGGGCAGCAAAGCTGTGTGTGACACTTCTTCTAACAGAATAATCACAATCACTCATACACCTTAAAAGAGGGACAACTAACATCCTTGCATAAGGAACAAGATCAGTGCCTAATCCTTGAACAAGCAGACTCATTATCATCCCTGCTCCTTGTCTAGCATTCACAGATGCCATGTCTCCCAACATAGGGATTATGTTTTCGATTACTGAGCCCATGATGTTGACTTTTATTGACTTTGCCATTGATGTGATGCATCTTGAAGCAGATAGTCTCACAGCAACATGAGAATGGCGGACACAGGAGAAAATGCATGGGAGGAGTGTCATTAGTTGGGGGCGTAATGTCTCATCTGGTACTACCTCTCCTCCACCTGATCTCTTTCCAGGAAGCTTAAAGTACGACGGCGAACTGTGTAAAACCAATTTCAATCAGTAAAAGAATGAAATAAGTGGCTCATCAACACACACATACACGAATATAGATAGACTAAGAGGTATCTAGTTCATAAAATTACATTTTTATTAGGAAAATGCCATGAAATAAGAACAAAAAATGAAAAGGGTTTACTCTAAAACCAATTATGGCCCCTGATTCTTAAAAAAAATAATAAGAACCAATTATGGCCCCTGATTGGGATAGCTCTTCCTCCCTTTGAGCTTGTCGCTTAGTCAATATCTGAAGGTGTGGAAGGTGCAATTCCTCACCAGGTTTGTGTTGAGGAACGCTCAAGATAAGAGCAGCTAGATCCCAGGTGGCAACTTTTGATGTAATACGGATGCCTTTTGATGTACAATTTATAAATAAGAAAATACAAATACTTTTAAAATATTTTTCCATTTAAATAAAGAACAAATTTATCGACTTCATAATATAGAATGTATGAAAATTAATAAACAAATAAATAAATATTACATGGTTTTCACATATGTTGCTCGAAATATCTAGATTCTGTTCGAGTCATATACAAAAAATATTTTACATGAATTTTATAGAATAATTTATTAACCCAAAAAAATAATATATGCATTATTTCTACGAGTAGTACAGTACAACACAGCAAAGTATACAATTTTTTTTACTATTTTGCCCCTGAGGCCTTGACAGTTCAGTGTTGTTGTCATGTTCATCGTTTATGAATTCACAAACATCATAAACTGTTAATTTGATTTACAAGATGCAGCACAATGAATTCACAAACAACAACAATAAAGAGAGAGAGAGAGAGAGAGAGAGAGAGAGAGAGAGAGAATCATACAATAAAAGCTAGTATGATAGCAATTGCAAATTTAGTGCCACCAATACCATCCAAAAAACCAACAGTAGCAACAAGAGCAGTCAGCAAGAGTAGTCACAGTTGCTGAATGTGATGATGGCATGCCACCAGATCCCACAAGCTGCTCAATATCCCATTCTTTTTCTTTATAACACATGATAAGGTTAAATGTGGCAAGCATCAAAATCAGAGTTTTGGGAAAAAAAGTTGGACTGCCAGTGCAACAATCATACAGCCACATGGACCATTTCTGTTACTTACCTTAGATTAAATGTGGCAAGCAACAAAATTAGAGTTTTGGAAAATACTATGTGTATCATTTATGTACCTATGGTGGCAAGGAAGAGCAACATATGCGATTGTTGGATTGGCCTTACATATGGGGCATAATGTATCATCCCCCTCAGAACCTGAAGACTTGTCCTTTGAAAATGGACGAAAAAGACTTTTTCATTGAAGATGAATTGAGAATAGGAAGTAGCAGCAACAACATTTCCTGCAAATGCATAACAATGGGTATGTAAGTACTTCATTTATACAAAAGAGGGAAGATTGGTAAAATTTCATCCATGAAGCAAAATAGAGTGGATAATGGAATTGAAATCCATGAGTTTATGGAAATGGAATGGAATTGAATTCCAACGGAATTTAGTTCTTTAGTCATTTGCAACCAAACACTGGAAATTGAATGGAATTGAATTCCAATTCCAGCTAACCAATATTCATAAGAACGAAAATTACCGAGAATTCATTCCACGATATGGAACCAGTGATTCTTTTGTGAAACATTTCACGATTTCCATCTCTTCCATCACTAATCTCTGTTATGATTAATGATTTAGAATGTTTAACAACTCAATCTGATCTCTGATGCTGTTTCTATGAAGATATACCTGAATGCTTTCGCAAAAAGGATGAGAGACTTCTCCATCGGAATCGCCATGGATTTCTTTGTCATCTCTACCCATCATATGATAACATGATCACACAACATGAATCAATGGGTGTGTGTTGTTTTCTCTGCATTTATGAACCTAGAACCCTAAATTTCAGGGGAATGAATTAAAACCCAATATACATATATATCAAATCACACAACATGAAACAATTGAAAAACTAAAATTGCTCTTTAGCTTTAATTTTATAATTAGGATAATGACAATTTACATGGGAATACAAATGAAGACGAACAATCACCAGCCATCATCCCCTGACAACCCCTTGACAACCTTCGAATGCCACCTCACACCCTCACCTGCAAATCGAAAAAAATAATAATAAGAAGGGAGAAGAAGGGTTGTGATCGAACCAGAGGAAGAAAGAGGAAGAATAGGCACATCTTTTCTTTCTTTTTTTTTCTTTTCGCTCTCAAACTCTGGCTGTAAATAGGAAAGCGCGAGAGATATTGAGAGAATAGACACAAGAGAGACAGAGATATTGATTCAGGTACGGTTGAGAGGTAAGAACATATAATCATTTGAAGAAGAAGGAATTTGGATGGGTGAGGGTGGGGACGAGGAAAACTTGTTTCCTGTGAGATCCAGAGCACAAAAGCCCTAGTTCTTCTAATTTTGGGATGGCGTGTCTTTAACGTCTCAGAGGGAGAAAATGGTGGATAAAAGAGGATAGTCGACATCGTTGACCACTGTATGGCTGCCAAGCTCCAAAAATACGAAAGGGAAGAAGAGTTACAGCCGCATAATGAGGTCTAGGGTTTACAGAGAAAAGGAGAAGCAGATAATGAAGGTTGTCGGCTGGTGGAGAGGATAAGTTCGTTATTCCTTCCCGAACAACAACAAATTGATCAGAGAACAAAACCGAGGTCTAGGGTTTACATGGAAACCATGGATGAAACGCGGGGTTTTTAATTTTTTAGGATTTCATTTCCCCCTGCTATTAAAGGATGGAACGCGCGTTCCATTAAAACTTATAAAGTGACATCCTTAGATGACGCACATGTGCCCTCCGTGTTTTTTCGTTTAGACACTAATTTAAGGGCATGCAATAATGCGTGACCTAAATCCTTAAATTTTTTGAATAGATGACACTCTTTTAATGTCACTCTCTTTTGCGTAACATAAATCAATGAGTGTCGTGGTTTGCGCGTCGTAAAAGGGTCTTTTTCTTGTAGTGGCCTGTATACCAGGGAAGATAAGGGATTTTCCCAGCCAAACTGAACATACTTTACCTACTAGCGGAAGCCAGGGTTTTCAAATGAAATACATTTTCATACTGGTGATGACCAGGTGTTCGACACAAACGGGGTTTTTACCTATAATGAAAATGAATTAATTATACAAATTCAGTGACTAGTTTTCATTATAAAATCATGCTTATGAACTCACCAGCTTTATGCGGATACGTTTTCAAAACTCGCTTGTATTCTCAGGGCAACAATACACAGGTACCCATGCCAGCTTTTGGTGAAGACGGAGTATTTTGAAGTCTCGTCTTTTTCTTTTGTCTCATTTCGATGTATACAAACTATGTTTTTTTTAAACAGATGTAAATATTCATATTGCAATGTAATGGTTGTGTTTACTTTGATTACTATGATGCAATTGTTGTGATACTACGCATGACGTCATCCACTCAGGACGTTTCCGCCGTTTTGTTTCCACGGTTCGGGGGTGTGACAGATTGGTATCAGAGTTATTGTTTATAGGGAACTAAGTATACCAAACCTTAAATGGTATACAACTATAAACACTAAGGGGCCGAATTGCTCTGAACTAAAAGTATACTTTAAAATATAAGTATTTTACAAAAAGTATACAAGTATACCTACATACCATAACCAATATCATGAGTAGAACAAAACAAAAGTATTTGGATGTTGGACTCTGTGGTTAAACCTGGGCAGCTATGTAATCATGTCTAGGGTCAATATAGCCTGATCAACTATATTTATTCGAGACATGACCAACATGTGCTTGGGAGTGACTGTGGTGTTGCGACAGACCTAAAACTTACCCAGTATTCATACCACAAAATATCGATACAACTAAACCTACAACTTAAAATTCTATAGGAGTATTTTACTAAAGTCAAATTCATTTCAGAGATTCATTTCCAAGTGTTGCTACTCATTCCTTTTTGTGATAATTTACTTGCGTTAGTACCTTTTCCTTGTTTATCGCTTAGTAGAACACTCTAGCCATCATATTGAGATATATCTTGCTTCATATCTCTTGATTCGATTCCAGAGGACTTACCACCCTCTTCTTCCTGATTATTTTTAGAACAAGATGCCTCCAAAGAAAAGACCCAGCAAAAAGAGCAAGAATTCCTCGACGGATCCAACACCGCCACCACTTCCTCAGTTCGATCCCGTTATGTTCCAGGCAGCTGTTACTGCCGCTGTGACTGCCGCTTTGTCACAAATTAATCCGGGTGGTTCTGGTGGGTCGGGAAGTGGTATTCATCCCTAAAATCATGAAGGTTGTCAAGGACACCAGAAGGAGTGCTCCTATAAAGACTTCATGAATGCAAAACCTACATCTTTCGACGGTAATGGTGGTGTTATTGCCCTGACCCAATGGTTCGAGAAGATCGAATCCATCTTCGAAATTTGTTCCTGTTCTGAAGCCAACAAGGTGAAATTCGCCGCTTGCACTTTCACCAACAGATCACTGACCTGGTGGAATGGTTAGGTCAAATCCCTAACCTTACCGGTAGCAAATGCTATGGGATGGGAGAGCTTGAAGGAGCTCACGCTTGCTGAATACTGCCCAAGAGGCGAGATGCAGAAACTGGAGCATGAGCTATGGAACTTGAAGATGAAGGGTTCCGACATTGCCTCCTACACAGCTAGATTCTGTGATTTGGCTCTTCTCTGTCCAGGAATGGTCACCCCGGAAGGCAAGAAAATAGAGAGGTACATTTGGGGATTGACGCCACCAACACAAGGAAATGTCTTGGCCGCTAGGCCAACCACTTTTGACAGCGCCAAGTACCTGGCGCAGACTCTCATAGATCACGGAGTTGATCTCGATGCCGCAGTAGCCGCTCCCGAACCAGCAAAGGTGAGTGGTGGGAAAAGAAAGTTCTGGAAGCAGCGAAAGGGCCAGTCTTCGCAAGAGCCCGCAAAGAAATAGCAAACGGTGGTTGTTCACGCTGCTACTACTCCCGCCGCTGCTCCTACCACCCAAGCACCTACCAGTGGATATACTAGTACTCGTCCTCGGTGCGATAAGTGTAACTACCATCATAACCCCGGCCCATGCCGGGAAATGCTTTGTAATAACTATGGCAAGAAGGGTCACACAACTCGGGGCTGCAAGACACAAGCCCAACCCACTAACCAGGCTTCTGGAGCAGGCGTGGGTCAAGCCTGTTATGGTTGTGGAGAAGTCGGGCACTACAAGAGAAATTGCCCCAAGGCAACAACAGCTGGCAGCACTGGGAGAGTGTTAGCAATGGGTCAGGAGGAAGCAGTTGCAGATCCCACCATTGTTACGGGTACGTTCCTCCTCAACAACTCTTATGCATGCATTCTTTTTGATTCTTGTGCGGAAAGAAGTTTTGTTAGTCATGCATTCAAACATCTTCTCAAACATAAACCCCAACCATTAACCGAACCATTTATAGTTGAGATGGCTAACGGTGAGAAAGAGAGCACTAACAACATATTCCTTGGCTGTACCCTTACCTTAAACGACCATTCCTTTCCCATCAACCTTATGCCTGTTTCCATAAAGAGTTTCGATGTCATCATCGGCATGGATTGGTTGAGCCCCAATCATGCTGATATCCTTTGCTACGAAAAAGCTATCCGTCTCAATCTTCCCTCTGGTGAAACCCTCATGATCTATGGTGATAAACTCAGCTCAAACCTTCGTATCATTTCGTGCATCAAAGTCCAAACATTTCTGCGAAAGGAGTGTCATGCATTCCTAGCTCATGTCGTTAACGAGAAACAGGAAGTTAAAGACCTCGAGAGCATCCCCGAAGTCTGCAACTTTCCTGATGTTTTTCCCGAAGAGCTCCCGGGAATCCCTCCCGAGCGTCAAGTTGAGTTTCGCATCGAACTAATCCCCGGAGCTACCCCCGTAGCTAAATCCCCATACCGTCTAGCGCCAGCAGAAATGCAAGAGTTATCCAGCCAGCTCAATGAGCTCCTCAACAAAGGATTCATCAGACCGAGATCCTCACATT